CAATTGCCCTTCAAAGGTGCTCCATTTTACCCTCCTCTTGATGTGAATCTTAAAAATAACTCCATTTAAAAATATTGATTATATTTCAGGCTCTTCTATCAATGAATTCAAGATATTACAGCAAATTGTGGAGAAAAGCTATTTAGAAAGACACACAACTAAGGCTGCCATGCCCACCTAAAGCAAACTTTAATGTAGCCTAAAAAGCTACCAGTCAACCTCACTTCTAGAAAAGTCCCCAGCTCCATAATGATGGCCCAGATCCACTCTATAGTCAGATGCTCATGCATGCCATCCCCCCAACCCAGGGTCAGAGTTAACAATAAGTGCTATTGAGTTGATGGCATTTGCTTGAAAGTCTAACCAAAATCCATCAACCCCTACACCTAATAAAGAGATTGTAGAGCTCTGTGGGAAAATGTAGCATAATCCCATCATCTTTTTCATAGACGATCCTTGGGAATTTTCCCATTATCAGCCTGTGATTATTATTGCCTGTGATTTCCACTGTGACGAGTTCTTACTGTAACACTGTTTTGACAAGTTTGCAGTTCTTTGCAATAAACATTGGCATTATTTGGACAGGGCTGGTAGAGGTATCATTAAAATGTTAAGTGAAAAACTGCAACTTGGGCAAGGATGGGGAACGGGAGAAAGGTGATTTTGAGAGAGTAAATGTCTTAATATGATCAGATGCATTCTACCCACACCATTCAGCCTCAGGTACTCTTGTACCTGATATTTAAACTCGTAAGACTGTCACATCTCACTTTTCAAATAAACACTTGGGCCTTTGTTGGATCTAGAAATAAATTGCTCTATTCACCAACAGGTTTGACTTTGGAGTCCTTGAATATATTTTGGCACTGTCTTTCATTTTGATTACTGGTCCATCATTCTGAATTTAGAGATACATTCTAAAGATGTTAGATCTATGAGGTACTTATGGAAAGTCATAGCTGACTCTCATGGCATCGCTTTGAAATTATCAAAAAATTTTTTTCAAATTTTCCATATTTTTGACATTTTCCATTTTGGTTTCTGACAAAGATTTTTTACTGTATTTTCTGACTTCATTTTGTCCATAGGCACAAGTGACAGATGATATCCACAGGCACAGGTGACAGATGACTAAATCTCCTTAGGATGGGACAACAGTGTTGCTGTGCTTGTACCAGATGCAAGAACGGGGGTCTCTCTGAAGAGAACTATTGGCTGAGAAATGATCAGTTTCATAAATAATGAGACAGTTATTCCTTTCATTCCCTGCTAACCTTAGAGCCAAAGCAGGAAGTCAAAAGACAGCTATGAAAATACAGAGGAGCAAGAGCCAATCAACTTGCTGTTTGTTTCCACCTAGCACAGTGGTCACAAATATGGATTTCCTTCTACATGTAGCCACAGACCAGAATCAACAGATTCTGAAGCATCCGTCAAGTCCTCCTACCCACTCTTTAGCAAATAGAAAACCTGGGTCTCACAAAGGACAAGTGTGCTGTGTAGCTAGGAAGCCACGGTCTCTTATGATGACAGGCCAGTAGCACTTAACACTGGGTCTCAAGTCCTGGGACTCACAGTACAGTGCTCATTCCAAGAGAGTACCACCTTCTAAATGTTTCTATTTTCTGATTACTCTCCTGCCAACTCTGAATTCCAGCTACTGTGACTGCAGTTTTTCCGTCCTTGTAGGTTTTCCTTGTGTTTCTAGTGCTCAGTTGGCAGCCCTGTGCTTTGCTAAGAACTACATGCTTTGCACTCCCATCGGCCACTGGAATTACCCTGGTGGGTAACATGAGGTTTCTGAGTGGAAATCAAAGTGGTTATTTTCTTTCTTTACTTTCCGCAAGCATTTTATAAACCTTCAAGCCCTTGTCCATGGCTGTGAGTGCCCTGTTTCCTAATAAGTTTCTCTGCCCTATGATGACAAAATGTTAATACTACAGAGCCCTGGACTGTCCTCATTTCTGAATGCCATGGAAGTTGTGCCCAGCTCATTCAATACCAACAAAGGCAGCATCCCAACACAGACCAAACTCTAGGTAGGACCCTATAACTTTTAATTCAATGCATTTATTTGCATTTTTATTAATTAATTTCTAAATTTTTAAAGCTTTTAAAAAATTTTTAATTTCTCCTATTGCTTTGCCTACTGACTACTCTCACCCGGCACCTCCCTACCAACTTTGTTGACCCTCTACCCTCCCCACAAATCTCTCTGGCACATTCATGTCTATTTGTTTTATAACCCACTGAGATTAACCAGGGCCACCTGTGTGACCATGAGTTTGGGGCTATCTGTAACAGCCTGCTGAGTTCAGCAGTGTGGAACCCATAACTTTTTAGAGCCTCTGTTCACAGATGCTTGAACTCCATTCCAACCCTCACTTCAGGCTGTGATTTCTTATTATCTTTGAGATTCCAACTCTCAACCACCACTGCCTTTTTCCAGCCTTGGAACCCATACCCCCATCTCCTCTTATACTGTGTATTTTAGTTCTTATATCAGGCCCACAAAGATACTTATGTAATTTAAAAGTATTATTGTGACTAGGATGGTTCAACATACACAAATCAATAAATGCAATAAAGCATGTAAGTAGACTTAAGGACTGAAAAAAAAACAAAAACCCAGTATAAACTGTTGTTATTTGGGTTATGTGATTGTTAATTTTGATTATCAACTTAAAAGAATTAAGAAACACCTAGGTGGGGCTGGAGAGTTGGTTCAGCAGTTAAGGGCACTGACCGTTCTTCCAGAGGACCCTGGTGTGAATCCCAGTGCCCACATGGCAGCTAACAGCCATCTGTAACTCCAGTTCCAGGGGAATGGATGCCCCCTTCTGACCTCACCAGGCATTGCATGACATGGGTGCACTTGCATACACGAATGCAATACACACATACACATAAAATAAAAATTAAAAAACAAAAAAGAAAAAGAGAAACACCTAGGCAATTAGTCAGGCACATCTTTGGGTGTGTCTTTGATGGTGTCATCTAGAGACGATTGATGGATTAATCCTTTGGGATGTGTCCTTGAAGCTCTATCTTGCCCTGGCACCCTCTTGCATTCCCTTTGGCTCCACCTCCTGCCTTCCATGAGGTGAGGTCAAGGATCTCCTCTGCCACAGATTCCTGCTATGTTTTATCTCACACTGGATCCAGAAACACTGAGCAAAGTGACGATGGGGTGAACCTTCTGACACTGTCAGTCAAAATATATAATTCCTCTCCTTCAAGTTGCTCCTTTAAGTATTTTGGTGACAGAGAAACAAAACTAACTAATACAGACCACTGCTCCTATGTTAAGCTACACCACATCATAGACCAGATATCTATAAAAACTGCCTTAAGAACAGCCCAGGGATGGCATTTGTTGATATTTCTACTGCAATCCCTGGGGTACTGATGACCAGTGGTGATGAACAATTCCAGTACTTGCTCTTCTAACATTTATCCAAAGAGAGTCTTAGAAGAAGCATATTCCAAATTTTCTATGGTTTTCCTCAAGCACTTTTGCCATTCTGGGTATTAAGAGGAAAACAATGTCAAAATTCACTCCTTTCCAAAATTCCAGCATGTATTCAGAAGCATTAAAAACTTGAAGTTTCAGGACAGGAGAGATGACTCAGGGATTGAAAGAGCAGTGGCTACTCTTGCAGAGGACCCAGGTTCGATTCCCAGCAACCACTGACTTTTGTCCATAACTCCAGTTACAGGGATCTGATGCCCCTTTCTGACCTCCATGGGCATTGCACGACATGGATACACTTAGATACATGCAGGCATACACTTATACACAAAATAAAAACAACAAATAAAATATTTAAAAAGATGAAGTTTCAGGAATTGGTGGTATGACAGATGAGGATTTCAATCAGCAAAGAGAAGTGTGGCTGGCCATAATGAGAGACAGCACCAAGATCCCATGTCCAGTACAGACATCTTATACAGTTACTGTCTCTTCGGGAGTATGGGATTGTGGATATGATGATATTTCACTCCTGTGATGAGCTACTTTATCTGACAAAGGCAAAAGGATTTTCAAGCTGTTAATAAAGTCCCTGATCAGCTGAATTTGGGTTAATCAAAAGAAAGAGCATCCTTGGTGGTCCTGAACTAATCAGGTAAGCTATTTAAAAAAGGACTAGACCCTATGTGAAGGTAGAGATGTGGAGCATGGAGAGATTATGGTGCTGGCTTTGAGAAAGGACCTATGTGTGACCTCTAGGAGCTGAGAGTGACTCAGATAAGAACCAGCCAGAAAAAGGAATCCCGTCCTTGCAATAGAAAAGAACCAAGTTCTGTCAAAAATCTGAATACTGCCAAGAGATGACTCCTTCAAAGCACAAATGCCAGGGATGGGGGACATAATTTGATGATAGAGCACGTGCCTAGCATGTGGAAGGCCCTGGGTTCAAGCCCAGTATGGCAAAAAAAAAGAAAGAAAAAATAAGAACTGGATGGGGGACATAATTTGATGATAGAGCACGTGCCTAGCATGTGGAAGGCTCTGGGTTCAAGCCCAGTATGGCAAAAAAAAAAGAAAGAAAAAATAAGAATATAAAATAACTAGAAGCACAAGTGTCAGCTGAGTAGAGTGACTCATACTGTATTTTTTTTTTCTGGTCACCTCTTCAGTGCACCACCCCATCTCTGACCAAGGTGAACCTCAGATGAGCATTTGGCTGGCTTACATTGGACTGGGGCCTATATATAAAAATCACACTACATGGTTTTCCAATCCCACCATAGACAATGTTGATTTTAAACAAGGTCTAATTCAGTCTGTGATTCAGCTTCTTAATCTGTAAAATGGAGAAAACAGAGTATCTCCTATAGAGTTATTTCGAGGAACAACTATATTAATATACATGATGCCCTTAAACAGTAAGCATTGAAAATGAATTTCTCAATTCATATTTCTCAATGTATAGTATATCAAAACCTCTTATCCTGTCAAGCTTCTGAACTCTGTCCCAGTGCAACCCAACACTTACCCACTGTGGCCGATGCAGACGAGAGCAGAGACTTGCCCCAGGAGCCCCAGCCTGTCCATCCTCCTCCCTGTGGCGAGGAATCCACAGCCTGCAGAGGAACAGATTAGTTGCGGGTCAGAGATCTACTTTGTCCCTGAATGGAAAAACCCATGCTTGAGTCACAGAGGTATTAAAAAAAAAAAAAAAAAAAAAAATCACCAACAACCGTATGTTCCTGACTTACAGTTTATATGGGCCATAAAAGAGTATCTTGACCCACACTGCAATATGCACTTTGGAACCAAGCTGAGTAATGGAGGTGTTGGCTCCTGAGGACTTGAAGTATGACAGGAGCATTAGCTCCCCCATTACATGGAAGACAAGGACAAGGGCAGTGTGGGGGAAAAGATGTAAGACATTAGGACACCAAAGTGATTGAAAAATGTTTAAAATGACCTTGACTCAATTTTTTCAGGGTTGACTCATTTTCTCCCTCTCTTCCTCCCTCCCTCCCTCCCTCTTTTCCTTCCTTCCTTCCTTCCTTCCTTCCTTCCTTCCTTCCT